ATTTTCAACATGTATGCCAAAGGGGTTTGTCCGTTTAAGGCTCTAAGATATGCCAATCTTTCAGAACGTGGGTCACTTGATTAAATGAATAAAGTCCCAAATTGTGTCATTTAACTGACTTTTACTTTTGGTCAATTGACCATGTTGTTCAGTGTTGTTGTTTAATGTACAGTTATAACTATCATTTCCAATTGTTTAACATTTTTAACAGTAGAGCTGTAAGGAATCCTACACGGAACAAAAGAGATTGTACAGAATCATATATTGTTTGGTATATTGCTAACTTCAGCTTAAGTTTTATTTAATATAGTCATTATTTAATATGACAATTACGTTATATGAGTGTGATTGCATGCTCGCCACTTGCTCCTAAACAATGCTTGTGAATTGTGATATTTGCTTCCCAACTTTTATACCAATGTCTGTAATTTCACAGTATAAGAATCATATAACATGCAGGATTGCAAAATCCCTTTGCTGTAGAGGCGTAGAAAGACTGAATCTTGAGATGATCGACTTGCCACATAACGTTTTAAAAAAGTATAGTATTACTATTGAAGCAATGATAAGTAATGCATTGTTACTGTTGTAAAACTAGTTTGGTAAAATAGTTCTGTGTTTATTGTGGGTAAATTAAATAGTTTTAAACCAACCTCTGTCGCAGGGACTTTCCACCTGCTTGGGAGCATTTTATCATATTTAAAACGCGTAGCGCGAGTAACTCGAATAACATTACATGTACATGAACTGCGGGATGTTGTAGGCAGCACTACGATTATAAAATCTGTTTTTCCTGGCAAGTTTTTTTGAGTAGATTTTTGTATACAGATTTTCAGGTACGCCAAGAGTCGGCAGCACTTTCCCTGCGATACTAACTTCTAGTATGTTGCTGAAAAAAACGTTTACGCGCAGTTAAAAAAGGACGCCGGGGCTCCGCAGAGTTGAGTTCAACAACATGATTCATCGATAATTTAGACGCATAAATATAGACTCGACTGTTGACATAACACAAATTTATTTATTAATAATACTTGTGTCATCAGTAGATTTAAAAATACTGAAATGGAACATATCTAAAAAGTTTATATTCTTACATATGGTTTAATATATAATTATATATATACAAACAAACATATTCTACGATAACGTTGCTATCCAAAGTTCCCTTAAGGTTTAAAATCACACTGATGGATTTTGAATCACAATAAGCAGGTATTCTTTATCTATAAAAAAAAATTATTATACTTATAAAAGATATTATACTACTAAATATTAGATATGAAACTGTTTTACTGGAAGCAACAGCAAGTTCCAGTCAAATGTGTACAAGGACACTACATATTCAAAACGTTGCAAGTCTTATTACTCGCAACCGAGTTAAATTTTCGGCATAGCCTAGGGTCCATTTTTGCCAAAGTTTTTTGTATTGAGAGCAAAGAATACTGACAAAATTCCATATTTGCAACAGGCTTAAAATGTTCGATGCATATAACTCCATTTCTAGTTACTGTACCTGGGGCAACCATAATCTCGTGTTTCTTGGAACGGATTCTGAGAAATGTTAAATCATTCTAGAAAATAATTGAAAATGCTATTACAGTAATGCAACGAGATTTTCGACCATTTAAAACTATACGCCTTCCCTCCTGATCTGTTTGCCGCAAAGGGGATTACTGAAAATTGGTCTGTTAATTCAACCGATTATATGGCCGTTTTATGAACATTCGAATCTTGCGAACATTTTGGTCGCTATATTAATGCCCTGTAACGTCATAATATCAACACAACTTCATTCATGGCGTATTAGATGTGTCCTAACTAACGCAGAGAAAACCCGTAGTTAATTGGGTCAATTGTTAGGAAACTGAAGGAATGCCCATGCGTCTATTTCCTGTAACGATGAAACATCCACAAAGACGAAAAAAGTTGGTGAATTTTGTCACTAAACATTGACCGATTGTGCCACAACGGAAATTATCGATTTAATTCATGCGCATGCAACAATCTACCCGATACCGATTTTACAATGTCAGTCGACCGAGTAAAGATGATATCATTCCTTTCCAGTTTTCAATGATAATTTCCAACGTAACATGTTATACTGCAACCAAAGTTCGCTAAAACCGTTCATAAATGGCAAGCTTCATGCATTAATTGCATGCTCCACACTAGACTTGGTTCAAGTCCGTCTCTCAAGGGGTTGAAAATAGCCATGCACGCAAGCGGTCAAAAAAGGCGAGAAAATATGAGAGAAAAGTAGGGAGAGACGGACTTGGATACCCTGCAAGCGCGCCAAATTTTACCGTCGGATTTTTCCTGCGGAGGCGTGGCTTGCCAGTTGAGAACAACAACAAATTTTCGCGCCAATTCTTGCAAGTAACATTCGAAATGCTGCGAATGTCCCAAGTCCGTCTCTCCCTACTTTTCTCCTGAGACGGACTTGAACCAAGTCTAGCTCCACACCTAACATCCAACATGCTATAGAATATCAGACGAATATATTATCATGAAGCGGGTTTACTGGTTTCAGCTGGAAACGCCGAGAGAAGGGACTGGGATTGAGGGTTTCCGAAATTTCTCGATATCATAGAAGGCAAGCCGAGCGCCCTGTAGGAAACCGTCTGTTAATATAAATATCGAAATGAAAATTCGACTATTCGATAAGAATAACTTTTATATTAATGGACCATTTGCATTATAGACTAAATTTTGATCTAGACAAAAATTTCATCACAGCTTGAAAGAGCATCACAAAATTAGTAATATTCCAAAGTTTCGTTGCGAAATGTTGTAAAATGCGGATAATATAG